CTAGCTCTGAGAGAGATGCAAATTAAAACAACTATGAGATATCATCTCACCCCAGTCAGAATAGCAAAATTTAACAGAACAGCAAGCAACAAATGTTGGCAAGGTTGTGGAGAAACTGGAACCCTTATTCACTGCTGGTGGGAGTGTAAAATGGTACAACCACTGTGGAAGGCAGTATGGCGCTTTCTAAAAATGTTGCAAATAGAGATACCATTTGATCCAGAAATTCCACTCTGGGAATATACCCCAAAGAGGCCATAACTGACATCCAAGCAGATATATGCCAGCCATGTTTATTGTGGCTTTGTTCACAATAGCAAGGAGATGGAAACAACCTAAGTGCCCATCAACAAACGAATGGATAGAGAGGCTTTGATATATTCACATAATGGAATACTACGCTGCATTGAAAAACAAGAATTCATGCAATATTATTCAAAATGGGTGACTCTGGAGGACATTATGCTGAGTGAAGTATCTTAGTCAGAAAAGGACAAATACCGCATGGTGCCACTGTTGTAAAATAGGACTGACATCGGAGTAGGGGGGAGACTAAGAAAGATGGATTGAATAATGTATACTGCATTGAAACAGAGAAGGGAGAAAGCTGTTTAAAAGGGATATGTGGTTAGGTATTTTTGTCATGACAGGAGTCCAGAGCGAAGGCCGCATAGTGGAGTGGACCTGGGGGAGGGTTTGTAAAACAATAAAAGAATTTTTCTTCTACTTTTTCAAGAGGGTAGTGTACTAGGGGGAAGGTTGGGAGGGGAGAAAAGTACAACAATGAGTGAATGGAAACCCAAAGTCTCTGTAAATTTTCATTGAAATTAATAATAAATTTTTTTAAAAAGTTAAACAAACCATCTACACCATATTACGGACATTTATATAGCTGTTAAAAACACTACGTAAACAGATATATGGAAGTATTTTTAAGAATAAAATGCATAGCAAACATACATACACTACAAAAATGTTTAGTAGACTTGTAATTTTCTAATGTATGTTTGTTTTATTTAACTGGTATCATAGTACCACTTATAAACCATAGACTTCTGATGACTTAGTGGTAAGAACTTGTGCTGCAATCCCAAACTGCACTTGGTTCAAATATGAAATATGCTCTGTGGGAAAAGGATGGGCAATCTCCTCCTATGTGATTAAATGCCTCTAAAAATCTGTTGGAGGGTCAGCTATTGGTTGGTTTTGTCTCAACAGTACTCAACAACAACATCATCATCATCATCATCACAGTAAACAGTTAAGCTACAAGTATAGAAGAATTCATCCCAAATGAGGATTACTTGCAAAATTAGACAGCATCACAATATGAGGAAGAAATGAAATGGAATGACATGAAGAAGTGGAGGAGACAATTTGCGAAGGTACTCCAAAGAACGGAGTACCACTTTTACTATTAAATCATATAAAGCTTAATATTGAAAATTATTTGTCAATTTTTAAAAGCTAAAATTTATCACAGAAATCTTGTAGAAAATGAAGAAACAAATGCTTCTAACCGTCATACCAGAGCCATGAGAATGTCCATGACCGCCATGATTGAAAACAAATATTCCTATTAGGTTTACCACAAACCCAAGAATTGAAACAAGTAGTAGTCTCTCATGATGTACATCTGGAGGGGCTAATGCTCTCTAGAAAACACACAACACAAACACAGAGTCTTTGTAAGTTCTAACTGATCAAAGAATAAAAATATATAATTAAATAAAAAACTTTAGCTACTTGAAGAGTTAGTATTCCAAAAATACTTGCCAAAATAATTTATAGAAAACCAGTGCCCATATGTTCCAGTAAAGGTAAGGTTTACTACTTTTACAGTAACATAAATATTAAAAGAATTTCTACAGATCTGCCCCCTTTATGTCTTTAAATACTACCTATCATTTTAAACTCATTATATCTTAAATTTTCTTCTTCAACATCAAACATTAAAAATTCATGGACAGACTCTCAGGTTCTTCCTTTAGGCAGTCGTCCCAACTGACGTTATATTCAAGACTGGATCTTTGCTTCCCTCCTATTAATATTTCAGCAATGGTTTGTAAAGCACTATCATTTACTTGTTTTCAATCACAAGAAGTTTCCCACAAATTTCATTTTTCCAATTGTTTTATAAGTCCCTCCTATCAATAAATAATAATAGTGTAAAATAGTTCTAAAACATGAATCTTCAACAAAGATTTTCTTTACATGAAATAATTTATTGACTCAAATTATTATCTACTATACCTCAACTCCTTCTGAGAAAATAAAAAAAGCAGTGAAGATCAAAAATAAGCCATTGACAAAGCCAGCCAGAACTTCCGCTCTAACATACCTAAAGAGCAAAGTAAACAAAAGAATTGTTATTTCTCAAAAAACAAATCACAAGTTTACATAGTTTACATATGTTCCAAGAGTCTAAGGTGTATTATATGGTTCTGAGTAGTCATCCAGCAAATCTTTGTATTTATAGTAAAGTACATTTTACTTTAAATTTATTGTAGAAATAAATGAGAATACATTTTAAATATTACAAATTATTATTAACACCAGAATGCCATAAAATACTCGGATTCTACTTCTCAAAGTAAGTAGGTTTAGCTTAAGTAGATTTATCTTCCACAGAAATGTAAATCTCAAGCTGCCACTGGAAAAAGAACAGGACCAGGCAAGAGTGCAAAGAAGGAAAGATTGAAGGATAAAAGAAAAAGAAAGGAGCTAGAAAATGGGAGTTTAATAATGCATTAATTCCTCCTTTCTAAAAATAATACTTTCTACTTTGTACCCTTCAGCTTTGAAATTCTTAGAAAGTAGAGCTTTGATCTGTGGAAAATAAAACTGTTTCCGAATTATCTTAGACAACTTGAGATTTATATTTCTATCACTCGTTTTCTAGGATTAATAAATGTAGCAAAAACTTTTCCATTACCTATTTTTAGAGTCAATTCAGCTTCATATAATTGTAATTAAACTATTTAAAATACCTGTCTCTTTCTCCATGGACTTCTGAAGCTTTCTGATTCCTACCTGTGTGAAGTACTGAGGAAAGATTTTCTTTTTCCATAAGGAGTATCTAGGTTAGTTAAAGTCATTAGAAACAACTTTAACTTGGCATGTAAATGTTAAAGCATCATCCAAAGGGTCTTGACAGTAGTTAACTTCTCTGGTTCTTAACAGTATTACTCAAAACTCATTACTGTCAAGTTGGAACCAACTCATAGCTGACTCTCCACTGGGTTTCTAAGCCTATAAATTGCATGGAAGTAGACTGTCCATATATCTCCAGAGGAGCCACTGTTGAATTTGAACAGCTCAAGAAGTTGAAATAGCAGTGCAACTCACTCTGGACCAGGCCAATAGAGCTCCCTTAACAATACAATGGAAGCATCAAACTAATGCTTTCTCTCAATTTCTAACTTCTAAATATAATTTTTACTGTAAATATATGTTTAAGAAAGTAATGGGCACTATCTAATTATGTTGGTGTTTGCCCTGCAAAAAATTTAATTCCCAAATAACATACATATCTATACTCAGACACAATGCATACTTGGTCTTTTTAAAGCAAATAACTTAATATGCTATTTTTTAAAAGAACAGACATGCTTGCTTGCTTGCTTTTTCTTGAGAAAAAGTTCACTATATTCAAAACGTTTGCAGCCTGCATTGCACAACCATACTTGGGAATTTAATCAACAAATCAACAGAGTTACTATTTAGAAATATAAATAGCACTTTCTTTTAACCTGCATTTTAATCCATGGTTAATGCCAGACTGAAGCTATATGCCCTTGAGATTCACTAGATTTCAAGATCAAAGACAGGAGTTCTTTTTGTCCCAAAACCCACTTTAGTAAACACTCTATAAATTCCGGTGAGTTGTTGGACTAAAGTGATTTCATTAAGCTTAATTTTGCTAATCATGATTGCAGGTTTAAAATTAAAACCCTATGAAAAATCAGGCACCCACGCATTTACACATAACTATGTTTACTTGAACAGAGCTATTCTGAGAATTAGAACATGAAATTCATGAATGCAGTGAGTGCTGTTACTTAGGTAAGTAAGGTTAGTGTTTAGATTCTTCAGTCTGACCCCCCAAGAAAGATTTAAGTATATGCACCTATGAATGTAAGCACATATATACACATGTAACTATAAGTATATATTACTTTCATGTTGGCTTGGCTACCTCAAAAAAAACAGTAGTGTAGTAGGACACAAAGATGATTTTTATATGAAGAAACACTACATGGTATTCTCTTTCAGATTCCTACTATTGTATCCTCTGTTAGAGTCAATCTGCTACTGTGATCATCTTGAATTGGAGGAGTTTTTAAAAAATTTATGCATAGGCTTAGCCTATCCAGTTTATTTTGATAAGCCGATACCAGAAGTTAACTACCACTACAACTTAACTATTATTGTTGCTAGGAATAACAATTCTTAATAATTTCAACCTTTTCTTTTTCTACCAAAGAATTTTTTTAGATAAGAGATAACTGCAAAAGAGTAGAAAGTAAGAAATTTAAAAGGTTAGCAAAATATTCCTCTTATATTAAAAATTAGAGTTGAATATTAAAATCCACTGCACTATTGAAGGTATTTGAAGCTTTTGCTAAAAACTGTCATACAGTAGGTGACAACTAATTCTAAATGTGAGATAATAAATTTTAATAGTCTCTTACTTTTATCCAGAAAATCTACTGAACAAGATATTATAATTAGATTTTTTGATATACAACATATATAAATTGCTAATTTTTTTAAAAAAGGCCCAAATAAAACCTCACATATACTCTCTCTTTAATTAATTAAAACAGATTATAGAAATCTTTAAATATCTATGCTGCTGCTGTTGCTGCTGCTACTGCTATTAAAAGACCTCCGGTGGCCAAGCAGGTTAAGCATTGGGATAACTGTAAGGTCAGCAGTTTAAAGGCATCAGTTGCTCCATGGAAATTAAGGCAAGGCAATCTCCTCCCATAAAGATTTACAGTTGAGGAAACTGGATGGAAGGCCACAATCAAATTGCAGACAGTGGGTTTAGGTTTGACCTTTCAGAAGCCTGTCTTCTGAGTCACCTCTGGGTTGATTTAAACTGCTAACATTGCAACTAGCTGTTGTTAGGTGACATGGAGTCAAGTACAATTCATAAGGACCCTATGAACAACAGATCTGAACCCTTTCCTATCCTGTGCCATCTTCATCATCTGTGACACACTTGAGCCCACTACTGCAGTCACCATGTCAATCCATCTCATTGTGAGTCTTTGCTCCTTTGCTGACCTTTCTAAGCATGATGTCCCTTTCCAAGGAATAGTCTTACTTAGCAACATGCCCAAAGTATGACAAGATGAAGCCTTGTCATCGCTGCCTCCAAGGAGCACTATGACAGCACTATTTCCAAGATACATCTGTTCTTTGGCAGCATCATAACTCAATGGCCATCAATTCTTCTTCTGTCATCTTTATTCACTGTGCAGCTCTCAGATGTGCAGCAAGTGACTGAAAAGAACATGGTCTGAATCAGGTGCACCTTAGTCCTCAAACTAATCATTGCTCCCAAGTATTTTGAAGGAGTCTCTGACAGTTGACTTGCCCAGTGCAATATGTCTCCTGACACACTGGTAACAAGATTGTTGATCCAAGCAAGATGAAATCACTGATAACTTCAAAGCTTTCTCCATCTATCTTGATGTTGTCTACTGGCCCAGGAGTGAGGATGCTTTTCTTGATGTTGTGAAATTATCCATATATGAGGCTGTAGTCCTAGATCTTCTTCAGCAAGCATTTCAATTTCTTCTCACTTGCAGCAAGCAAGGCTGTGTCATCTGCATAAGGCAAGCTGTCTTCCTCTGATCTTGATGCAACATTTCTCTTCAGAGTCCAGCTTCACAAACTATTTGTTCCGCACAGAGACTGAATAGGCAAGGAGAAAGGATATATCCCTGAAGCACACCTTTTTTATTTTAAACTTTGCATACACCTTCCTGATTTCAACCAGGACAAGAGCTTGATCTAAGGATGGATTTCTCACTAACACAATTCTCTGGAATTCCCATTTTTCTCAATGTTAGCCATAGTTTGTTATATCCACAGAGTCAAAAGTTTTGCACAGTCAATAAACATAAAAAGACATCCTTCTGGTCATCCCTGCTTTCAGCCAGGATCCATCCAACATCATTAATGATATACCTGATGACACGGCCTCTTCTAAATTCAGCTTGAACTTTGGGCAGTCCCTTCAATGTACTGTGTTAACCATTTTTGGATAATCTTAAGCATTATTTTGCTCCCATGTTATATTTACGATACTGTTTGATAATTTCCACATTCTGTGGGATCACTTTTTTAAAAAATTGGAATAAATATGGGTATTTTCCAGTCAGTCAGCCATGCAGCTGTCCTCCAATTTTTCTGATATACACAGGTGAGCATGTCTAGAGCTGAATCTGTCAGATGAAAGAGGTCAACTGGTATTCCATCAATTCCCAGGGCCTTTTCTTTGCTAATGCCTTCAGTGCACCTTCAGAAATTCTTCCTTCATTACCGCTAGCGCTTGTTCATATGGTATTTGGTGATATTTTCAAGTGTTATCCAATTCTTTTTGGTATTGGGACTCTGTGCATTCCTTCCATTTTCTTCTGATGCTTTCTTAATCATTTAAGATTTTACCCATAGCATCTCTAAGTAATACAACTTGAGTCTTGAATTGGTTTTTTAGTTTAAGAAATGGCAAGTAAGTTCTCTGAAAATAAAAGTGAATTATCATTTATTCTCTGACTCTAGCTCTTTGAACATTTCGTTTTAACATTTCACTTTATCTTCTCAAGCTGCCCTTTGAAAACTTTTGTTCAGTTGTTTTTTT